TATCAGTCTGCTGGCAGATAGCGTGCTTAACTGCTAAGCGGGACAGATTGAGTTAGTCCTTGGTGTTTTCCAGGATTTTGCCACAGGTGTGGGCGGTTCGTAAGAATGCCAGCTGGCGCGGCAGATGAGGCGAAAAAAGCGAGGATGGCCAGCCACGCGGAGGAATGGTGCCCCCTCGCCTCCCGCAAAGTTCTAGAAGAAAGGCGAGCGAAACGGCGACGCCTGGACATGCTCGGAGGCGAAGAGCTCCACTACGTCCCATGTATGCGTTTTAATTTCTCTTCATGATTTGAACATCTACATCACTTTCGACACTGACTGTCTTCATATTTCGATCGGTTCTGTGCATGTTATTCTTTTTTTCTTATAGGATGGCTTGTGGATCAGGGAGGCGGTGAAGGATGTAGTGGGGTCGAGTGGAATCGGTAGAAGATGCGTGAGGCTGCAAATTGGGAGATCTGCCGAAAGGAAGGATGCGGTCGAAGGAGGAAAAAAGTGCGTTGAGGGTATCGAAAGTACATGATACTGGAAATGCAGGTTGTGAAGGATTTGGATGAGGTTGCGTAGCTGACGAAGGATAATGGAAATTATGGAGGAGTTGGAGCCTGTTGAAAAAAAAGTTATGGTGCGATTTGGCTGAGGATGAAATAAGGAAGAAGGATGGAAGGCGGAAAGAAATTTGTTGGCAACAGCTGGAGAATATGGCAAACGATATCTGCGAAGATCTTCGAAAACGAGGCGAAGGCTTGCGGGGAAGTGTCGCGGAGAATATAGGTGAAGTAACTGGGGAAGAAGATAACTGAAGAAATGAAGTGATCAAGTGAAGAGACGGCCAACAAAGAAGCTGACGAAAGAAGTGTATGAGTGAAAATGAAGAGTGTTGAAGTGGAATAACGAAGTTCATTTGAATGCGGAAGAAGTTTTTCTAAGTGAAAGAATTGGAAAGCAACAGCAATTACTCGGAAAGTAAGCAGTGAGTGGAACGTGTCAGTGGACAGCAATAGCGAGTAATATGAAAATTAGCTTTGACTTATGGGGAACGTTTCGAAATTACTACTGTTATTTTCCGGCCTGTTACGGTTCAATTTTTCATAATGTTTGATTTTGAAAATCCGCTTAATTACGGTCAGTTTGCTAACGGCTTGTTTTTTTATCTGTTATTAGCACATATTCAAAGAAATGAAATTTGAAAAAAA